AGAGGCTTCATTCATTGTCAGTATGTTTGTTTCTGTGTTAGTGACAACAAGCCATTTACACTACACAGTATACTTTTTTTAAAGAAAAAATAATCGAGAGAAAAATAATTTTTACAATGTTTTTTTTTTTTTAAAAACAATTGCCTTTGACCTAAATGTAATATTGAGTAAGAGACACTATAGATCACAAGTACATATATACATCGCAGCAGTCACACACTGCTACCTGGGCTGTATTTGCAATACCTGCACATTGTTAAGGCCAGTTTATAAATATGTGCACACATTGTCTCTGTGTCTATCTCTGTGTCTCCATTACCATGTGCAACTGTTTATGTCTCTCAGGGTACGTCTATGTAAGGAAATCTATCATAATTTATTATTATTTAAGATAAAATATTACATGCTTTAGAGCCTCCTTGTGTCTTATTTTGTAATGTGTGCATAGGAATATCTCTTTTCGGTGTCATCTCCTGGGTTACCCTTGCTTTATGGAACCAGTCATCTTCAGTCCACTTTCATAAGCACAGCATATCTGACCAAAAACTGAATGTGGGGAGTTATTAAATCATATATATTCATTACATGTAGTATAAAAGTGACTGTTTTCCTTTAAGGCTGCTTGTACCTTTCCTTTGCATGTTGTAGGTTAAATCAATGAATTATGAGATAGAATTGGAACATTCACTCTATGCAGACACAATGCATACTGACCGAATACGTTTTTTTTTTTTTACAATGAAGTGTTGCATAAGCAGTATGATTTATTCAATCCCCATTGATAGATATATTAAATATATATAATAGAATATATATATATCGCCCTACACAGCTTACTGTAGAAAATAATAGAGCCCTGGCATTGCTATACAGCACACAGTCACTGTATCCTATTTTCTGTGTAAAGGAGATTTTTTTTTTTATCATCTAGCACATTATGACCTCAATTTAATATTTTTTTGCTAAGTTTTTTTAAAATAACTGAATATAGTGAAAAACGTTTTAATAATTTTTTTGATATTTTAGTATTTTGGAAAAATTATTTGAAAAGCTTATTCAAAAATGTTAAATTGTGGCCTATATTCATTAAGAGGACAATGGTCACCTCCAAAACATTTTTAATATAACAATCCTTTCATCAAGTATTAAAAAATATTTTTGAGGTGACCGGTGTCTACTAAATATGCTGATTTCACAATAGTTTGTCCAACTATGCAGTACCGCACAAAGTATTTTGCAATGTTCTTTTTCTCTGTTATAGGACACAATAAACTTTGTTTATTAGATACCATAAAATGTTTCCAGTAATAATTCCTAAAATCTTTAATCTATGCTCTGATTTTTATCATACACTGTCGGGCCTTCTGGACTGTTCTCTATTATTCTGGGGATTAGGGGGTGTATAGCATCTCTTCCATTTGTAAGGCATTTTTACACTTATACGTGTTTTCAGACTATCTTTTCTTGTAATTTGAAAACACTGTATATCAACATTAAATCATAAATAGGAGTAGTCAGGGCAAGGCCAATAAGCAAGCCATGTTCCTAGCGTTATATAATGTTAAGATTATGTGTAGCAGAACAAACTATTAACAAATTAGAACCAAAAATGCTAATTTGCTGAAAGGAAGTTTAAACATTTAGTTAATAGCAGTTCCTAGAATTTTGACACACCCATCAATGATCTCATATTCTAGAGATGACTTAAGACACCATTGACAATAAAAAACAAATTTATGTTAAAAATTATTGAAAAGCTACTTTGGAAAGGTTTGACATAATCAAAATATCACCTTATTTTGACAGTGTAGCACAGTCATATGTCACCCAATAAACAATCATGTAGAATGCTTTGTCTAATATATACAGGCCAGGGCTTCTTTTAAATTATTACCTGCTTCTCTTTTGAAATATATAATAGAATTTTAATGAGGGTATCAGTACTTTTTTTTTCCCATTGGTACTGGATCGTTTCATGTGCAGTATAAAGCACTGCTGAATAAATAAACCTTTCTGTGCCTGTTTGCGGTCTGGCTTTTCTGTCGAAAGGGGTGTGGGCATCAATTATGTTGCATTTTCAAGTTCTCATTGAGTATCCAGGAATAACATTATATAGTTTGTTATTACAGTCAGTGGGAGAGATATGATGAGTGATCATGATGGAAGTAACTGGGCGAGAGAGATACGTTTGATAAGTTTAGTGATGTGTTAGAGGGTCCTGCGCTGGATAACTAACCCAAAAAAACTGAAGAGGTCATAGGACTTGCAATCAGCAGGCTGTGGCATCTTTTTCAGGGGCTGACTTGTGAAAGTACTTATGGAATCCATCATGTTAGATAGACAGGGATGAAGTTGAAGATCAGGACAACAGATAAGACCACCAAGGCAGAGCAAAATCCTAACAGGGAGACCCCACATTACGTTGAAACATAAAGTGTATTTACAGAATACTTAAAAGGGAAAAGCTCAACAGATTGAATAAAATGCAATTTTAACTAATATCATTTTTTTAGGAAACACAAAACACTATTTCTGAGAGAAATACCAAAACTGACTCTGCACTTCTTATGATGCGGCATCCCAGCCGGCCAATCTGGCCTACATTACAATGCATGGATATCGTGCATCTATCAAAGGACACTCTTATGGAAGGCCATAGCCTAATTTTAAGCCTTTCCCCAGTCCTCTTTTGGTGATCCTCTTTTTCTAAGAGCTCTGAATGTTTAGATTACTATATCATAATTATATATTTAAAATCATTTGATAATGTATGTCTAAACTGCACTATTTGACTTTAGAAAATAACAAAATTGTTTGTTTTATAATTCTGCAAAAGTTATTCACTTACATTATTAGCTACTAGTTAGTAGGTCAAGAAGTCCCGTAACCATAATTGGTTTAGTAATGATTTATCCACCAATCCCTCATGAGACTTGTCCCAAAGCAAAATTTCCCCTATTTTGCAATTTGAAATCCTGTGAGGTATGTTACTTGTAATATGAACAGAAAAGAGCTATAATATAAAACATTAAAAAAAGGTAATCGAATCTACTATTGATCAAATTTATGTTCTGTGCCAAGTGGCTGAAATCAGTTCAATGATGCTTTGTGCTAGACTAATACTGCCAGGTACCTGATAATTTTCATAATTATTTTTGAGGAGACATCCTGAATTGGGTTAGAATATGTGACTTGGACCTGTTCTTCTGCGCTATTACAACCAGCTTTGTTTTTGTACATTTAAAAAACAGTACTTAATAATGTGATGACATTTCACTGGTCACACAAATCGCTCATATTTTAATTATAAAGTTCATCTTAATCAATTCTGCCATTATTGTAATATTTATCATTACTGAATGCAAAGCCCAAACCCTTGCTTTGTTTTTAAAAACATTCTGCATTACCTCAAACTTTTTCCACAATTCATTACAGAAAATTATCCCCTTAAATACAGAAATTCACACTTATATATTTACTTATATTCAGCTTACCTGGTATCCAATGACTGGGTGCGAGAGGATGCACTTATTATACACTGCTTGATGTGCAGGATAACATGTGATAGGCTTGCCACCTGATAAGTAAAGGTTATTTGAGTTATTATACTGTGATGTCATTTAATTGCAGAACATATAAAACTACAGGTGCTCAAATGTTTATCACCCCACAGAGATCATTTTTGGGGCATATGAACTATACTTTATCTGTAGTAATAGGAGAAGTCTAGAGTTTGTATGTGGGTTGGCTATTTTGGCTTTATATTTAAAATTCACTTTAACTTCCTAGCAATTTTCACATTGGTGAATGAACGTGTCAATTTCACTAGATCCAACATAAATGTATTAGAGTTGAGACTTGTGTTTCACATGTATTGATTGAAACATTCATAGATATGAAGGTCTCACCACACACTAATCCAATATGTTGAGTGATACTCTCACTGTATGGCTAATATACTCATGCTCATCTTCCCCCACCCCATTATCCTAATATCCTCAATTGACTTGATACACAAGGATGGGGACCTGAGCGTTGACTATGCGCTTGTGTCATTGTCGATGCAATAATGTAATAATTATTGTTACAAACTGTCTTTATCCCCTTTAGACTGTAAAATCATGGCTCAGCACACATTCAGGGTTATTCACTAATGTAAGAATTAAAAGTAAATAATAATTTAAGGACAAACGGGAAAAAAATCAGTTATGCTTTTGGTTTGGCTATCCTGGCCTTAAAGGAACATTATAGGGTCAGGAACACATGTTTTCCTGACCTTATAGTGTTAAAACCAACATCCAACCTTGCCCCCTAAATATAGTAAAATTTTACCTTTACTCCAGTCTGCTGCTGTTGGTGGCTTTGCCCCTAATCTGCCTGCTTGGCTGACATCATCAGAAGTATTGTTTAAAGCCAATCGCAAATCTTTCTCATAGGAAAGCATTAGATTGGCTGAGACTGACAAGGAGGCAGATCAGGGGCAGAGCCAGCACAAGTCAAAAACAGCCCTGGTCAATAAGCATCTCCTCATAGAGATGAACTAAATCAATGAATCTCTATGAAGAAACTTCAGTGTCTGCATGCAGAGAGGGTGGAGACACTAAATGTCAGTCACACTGTGCAGCACTGCCCCAGGAAGCACCTCTCGTAGCCATCTGAGTGGCGGCCAGTGGAGGTATCCCTAGGCTGTAATGTAAACCCTGCATTTTCTCTGAAAGAAACAAGTCTGAAGGGACTAATTATACTCACCAGAACAAATACAACAAGCTGTAGTTATTCTGATGACTATAGTGTCCCTTTAAATTTAAAATTCCCTTTGAATTCTCACTTTAGTAAATAAACCTGTCTGTACAAAAGTGTTTGCATGCTAGGTTTTAGATTCACAGACCGTGAAATTTTTGTATAATTATGCACTGTGGTATCTTCGTGATCTACTTCTTGCAGAATATGTTCTTTATAAATAAACATAATACATTTCCAACATTTGTCATTAAAAGAAAATGGGGGTGGGGGGGGCGTGGCTTGATTGGAGCCGCAAACGGTCGCATGTCTGCGGAGTTCCAGCGATTCCACGGCTAAAAACCTACAATACATTGCATATATCGCTGCAAACCAACCCCAACCGTGTCCCTGATACCAGGGAAAACACGGGGAAACGCTCCAGGAAACTCAAGACTCCTGCAGCTCACGGCAACCAAAGTATTGGTGAACTCTTCCACACGCGGAATAGGCTCAAGATGGCAGTGCCGCCTGACAACCCCAGCTCTTCATACTCTGAGGAGGACCTGTTGGATGCCCATGACCCTATACCCGAGGCAAAACAATTAATAGCTCACTTACACCCAGAAAAACGGCAGAGATCTGGCTACCAAGGGTGACAATGGTGACATAACGGACCTAATGGTCAACATCCGGGCCTTCCTCAGGGCTGATTTGGCGGTTGTCTTGGAGGAGGTGACATCCTCAACAGAGTCAGGGCAGTGGAGGAGGACATCACTTTGCTCTCGCAAAACCTGGACAGTACAACAGAACAGGTCCGCCAACTACAGACTTCCCGCAAACAAGGCTGGACGCGATGGATGATGCGCGCCAATGTAAGAACCTCAAAGTTAGAGGAGTAGCAGAATCGATTACACCAGAGGAAGTACTGCACTTCTTCAGACGCCTCTTCACAGCCTTGCTACCACACCGTCAAACAAAATATGCTCTCATGGGTGGCACCCACCAACACCCCAAGTCTCCACAGCAGCCCCAAGAGATGTCCTACTCTGCTTTCTCTCCTTCAGGGACAAGCTGGCCGTACTGGAGACACTGGAGACCAAAGTCCCATTTGAATTTGAAGGAATGCACCATCCTGCAGGACCTATGCAGAGCCACCTTGGATTGGAGGCTCAAAGAGGCCGGCGTTGCCTGCAGATGGGGGCCATCCCACACCCTCGCTGCCACTAAAGATGGCGCTACCCTCTGACTCACGACTGCAGAGGCCTCTCACTCATTCCTTGCACAACTGGGCTTGGCACAGAAAACTACCTCCACAATGGCTGCACACAATACATGGGACGTGCAGAACATTGTCCCTTTCATAACCTGTGCTGGAGTGGACACAGGATGAGGAGCCCAGTTCGGCTGATACATCGAATGCCAGGCAACGGGAAGCCTCCAGAAAGCAAGTTCTAAACCCCGAACATTTCCTAGTTAAGCTCAGCTGGTGCTCGATTTAATTTAATGTCATTTAATTACTAGGAGGCCCGCATTAGTCTTGGAGCAGACCCTCCATAAGCTCCTGTGCCCCTCTCCCCCCCCACTCCCCCAAAGATGCCCAGGGTTCGATGTGTATAGCTACCACCCCGGCTTACCATGGTATCGCCACAAACTATGTTACTTACATGGGCTTATATCCCATATGCCTCTAATCCGTGGCACTACACGGTACCCTCCACCTACAACTAAGTAGGAGACACTAGGCGGCTCGCGCCACAATATAAAGGCTCCCTAGGGCCTCCACACTTTCAGGTCCCACATTTATTCTGGGATCAGTCGACACCAAATCAGGCTTATGTAAAATTAAGAAAAAGCCCTACTAGCCCCTATTGCCCACTCGCAGTTCGTTATACCTCGACTTCCAACGTTATATTTTAATTTATAATATACTTTACCATACCATTAGTACTGACATTTACAATGGCTCTGATGTGCACTGTGCCATTCTCGCTTTATTAATTGCATTTATCTGCATGTCACTGTCCATGTAGTCTGCAGTTATTCAAAAAATTAGCTATTTTGTTACTATGCTAATCAACTGTATTGGAATGTTGCACAATCTCTGTATTTGCTGTTTGGGCAAGGTAGATTATGCTGTTTTTATTCTCATGCGCAAACAAAAATAAAGAATTAAAAAAGGGAAAAAAGAAAACGTGAGTTCTTCATTATTTACCTCTAGAGAAGATATAATTAATTAAGTACTTTACCTAATGAAGTGGGTTAGTGATATCCGTAAGTGCACTAATTATATTAGTATATAGTTTTATATACAAAATGCCTAGTGAGATAGTCCTTTAGATTGTAAGCTCACGGGCTATCTAACTAGACAATTTGTGTAAAAAGAGCTTCAACAGCTCAAGGCAGGGACCTTTACCTTTTGTATTGGTCTGTATATATTGTACTGATTTGTTCCACCCCCCTGTTAGATCACACAATGCATTAGTTGTATCACAAGGTGTGTAGTTTAAATTAGGAAAAATTTTAAATGCTGCTCCTGCTTTTTGGGTTAGTTTTTGTTTTTTTTAATGATATTAATTAGATCAAATATTATTAGTGATTTGCAGTTAGGACTAAATGTCGTCGCTGCACTGTATAATTTATCAGGTTCAAATATCCTTTTTACATATATATTGTACAGCGCTACGGAATTTGCAGGCGCTATATAAATAATAATAATAATAATGGCTACCTCACACAGCGGTAATGGAGGCTGGCTACCTCACACAGCAGTAATGGAGGCTGGTTAGTGACCTCACACAGCGGTAATGGAGGCTGGCTACCTCACACAGCAGTAATGGAGGCTGGTTAGTGACCTCACACAGCAGTAATGGAGGCTGGTTAGTGACCTCACACAGCAGTAATGGAGGCTGATTAGTGACATCACACAGCAGTAATGGAGGCTGGTTACCTCACAGCAGTAATGGAGGCTGGTTACCTCACACAGCAGTAATGGAGGCTGGCAGTAATGGAGGCTGGTTACCTCACACAGCAGTAATGGAGGCTGGTTAGTGACCTCACACAGCAGTAATGGAGGCTGGTTACCTCACACAGCAGTAATGGAGGCTGGTTTCCTCACACAGCAGTAATGGAGGCTGATTTCCTCACACAGCAGCAATGGAGGCTGGTTTCCTCACACAGCAGTAATGGAGGCTGGTTAGTGACCTCACACAGCAGTAATGGAGGCTGGTTTCCTCACACAGCAGTAATGGAGGCTGATTTCCTCACACAGCAGCAATGGAGGCTGGTTACCTCACACAGCAGTAATGGAGGCTGGTTACCTCACACAGCAGTAATGGAGGCTGGTTAGTGACCTCACACAGCAGTAATGGAGGCTGGTTACCTCACACAGCAGTAATGGAGGCTGGTTAGTGACCTCACACAGCAGTAATGGAGGCTGGTTTCCTCACACAGCAGTAATGGAGGCTGGTTACCTCACACAGCAGTAATGGAGGCTGTTAGTGCTACACAGCAGTAATGGAGGCTGTTAGTGACTCACACAGCAGTAATGGAGGCTGGTTACCTCACACAGCAGTAATGGAGGCTGGTTAGTGACCCACACAGCAGGTAATGGAGGCTGGTTAGTGACCTCACACAGCAGTAATGGAGGCTGGTTAGTGACCTCACACAGCAGTAATGGAGGCTGGTTAGTGACCTCACACAGCAGTAATGGAGGCTGGTTACCTCACACAGCAGTAATGGAGGCTGGTTTCCTCACACAGCAGTAATGGAGGCTGATTTCCTCACACAGCAGCAATGGAGGCTGGTTTCCTCACACAGCAGTAATGGAGGCTGGTTAGTGACCTCACACAGCAGTAATGGAGGCTGGTTTCCTCACACAGCAGTAATGGAGGCTGATTTCCTCACACAGCAGCAATGGAGGCTGGTTTCCTCACACAGCAGTAATGGAGGCTGGTTACCTCACACAGCAGTAATGGAGGCTGGTTAGTGACCTCACACAACTGTAATGGAGGCTGATTTCCTCACACAGCAGCAATGGGGGCTGGTTTCCTCACACAGCAGTAATGGAGGCTGGTTTCCTCACACAGCAGTAATGGAGGCTGATTTCCTCACACAGCAGCAATGGAGGCTGGTTTCCTCACACAGCAGTAATGGAGGCTGGTTACTTCACACAGCAGTAATGGAGGCTGGTTAGTGACCTCACACAGCGGTAATGGAGGCTGGCTACCTCACACAGCAGTAATGGAGGCTGGTTAGTGACCTCACACAGCAGTAATGGAGGCTGGTTACCTCACACAGCAGTAATGGAGGCTGGTTACCTCACACAGCAGTAATGGAGGCTGGTGACCTCACACAGCAGTAAAGGAGGCTGGTTACCTCACACAGCAGTAATGGAGGCTGGTTAGTGACCTCACACTGCAGTAATGGAGGCTGGTTAGTTACATCACACAGCAGTAATGGAGGCTGGTTACCTCACACAGCAGTAATGGAGGCTGGTTTCCTCACACAGCAGTAATGGAGGCTGGTTTCCTCACACAGCAGTAATGGAGGCTGGTTACCTCACACAGCAGTAATGGAGGCTTATTAGTGACCTCACACAGCAGTAATGGAGGCTGGTTACCTCACAGAGCAGTAATGGAGGCTTATTAGTGACCTCACACAGCAGCAATGGAGGCTGGTTACCTCACACAGCAGTAATGGAGGCTTATTAGTGACCTCACACAGCAGTAATGGAGGCTGGTTACCTCACACAGCAGTGGTTACCTCACACAGCAGTAATGGAGGCTGATTAGTGACCTCACACAGCAGTAATGGAGGCTGATTAGTGACCTCACACAGCAGTAATGGAGGCTGATTAGTGACCTCACACAGCAGTAATGGAGGCTGATTAGTGACCTCACACAGCAGTAATGGAGGCTGATTAGTGACCTCACACAGCAGTAATGGAGGCTGGTTAGTGACCTCACACAGCAGTAATGGAGGCTGGTTACCTCACACAGCAGTAATGGAGGCTGATTTACCTCACACAGCAGTAATGGAGGCTGGTTACCTCACACAGCAGTAATGGAGGCTGGTTAGTGACCTCACACAGCAGTAATGGAGGCTGATTAGTGACATCACACAGCAGTAATGGAGGCTGGTTTCCTCACACAGCAGTAATGGAGGCTGGTTACCTCACACAGCAGTAATGGAGGCTGGTTACCTCACACAGCAGTAATGGAGGCTGGTTACCTCACACAGTAATGGAGGCTGGTTACCTCACACAGCAGTAATGGAGGCTGGTTAGTGACCTCACACAGCAGTAATGGAGGCTGATTAGTAACCTCACACAGCAGTAATGGAGGCTGATTAGTAACCTCACACAGCAGTAATGGAGACCTTACACTGTAAGTTACCTCAGGCAGAGAGTTGTGTTTATTGTAATTTCTTTATTGTTCCTGGCTACACACACTCAGATACAGAGCTCCTGACAGGAATCTATACACTGTGAATAGAGACTGAGTGACATCTTTACTAACAGGGTTATTCACTAATGTGAGAATATAAAGTGAATTTCACATTTAGGGTCCAATAACCAAACTGGAAACATCCTCTCAGTCAGCTTTGCTTTCTATTTGGCTACTCTGACCTTAACTTTGAACTTCACTGTGAATTCTCA